CCCTCACCCAAATACCCACTGACACTAATCCCTAATAAAACCCTAGCAAAAACATGCTACTAGTAGTTTGTAAAATGATTTAATTGACTCTTCACATTCCTTCCATTTTGTCGATACAATACCTCAGTGTACATAAACCATTTCTCTGTCAACATGCTAAAGCTACAAGTGGTTGTCTTCTTGTTGAGTGTCAGTGAAGTTATTAGTCAATGTCCACCTTCCTCAGGTAAGACACTGGATGGGTATAATGACAACTATATAGGTTTTTGATAGGTATCTACCTGAGGCATAATCAGAGGCGTATTTAGGGGGGGACTGAGGGGGCTTGAGCACCCCCCTCAGGGCTGGGCTCAGAAAAAATTACTGAACTCCTGGACTCTTGCATCACTACCAAGCCTCTTAACAAAGTTATCTAGCCCCCTGATCATGATTTCAGCAGTTTCCAGTGCTTTAAGGAGCAATCAGAAGTACCAGTAACATCGAGTAACATAGCAGTATGCTTGAAATAATCTTGGCCCCACCCGTAATTGACGAAAATGCAGGAAAAGGCCGTTTTACCGCCGTAAAAGTGGGTGTGGCCAAAATCGCGGCGCGCTTCGCGCGCCCTCAGCACCCCCCTTCTCTGATTCCTAGATACGCCCCTGATAATGGTAGCTGTTATTTCAATGGATCATATTTTTGGGATAACAGTATCAGCCCAACTCCTCTAGAGTGTGTATTACCTGGTGCTACTCTGAATGGTGGACAATGGATTGGTCCTAATGGAGTAGTGTCTTGTCCTGGCAACAATTCCAATCTTTTTTGCACTGTGGGGTCAGGTGCTAGTCTCAGTGTTCACATACCTGCCACTAACACTGACTTTCTTCAGGCACCTGGTGATGGCTGGTACAAGTGTTGTCTACCCACTAACTGTTCAGATCCTAACACTAACATCATCTTTGCTAATATATTCAGTGAGAGGAGACTAAATTATTATACAGATGTAATCAATAATAATTTTTCATTTGTAGAATTGGCACAGATAGAATCATTTACTGTTGCTGATCTTCCTTCTGATATGATAATATATCCACAGAAATACAAACTGACTTGTATTAAAATTGGATATACTCTACAGTATAATATTAGTATGAGCATTGGTAGTCTATCAGTGACTAGTTACACTATTTGTAATGATCAAGATAATCCTTGTACTGCTAGTAATGATGGCAGCACATTAGGATATACTGTTAATATTACATGGGATGAAATGACTGTCAGTAGCCGATTGATCAATCAATCAACCACTGGAGATCAAATTTACCAATGTGTACTGGATAATCCTGGTAGTGCTGCTGATAGAACGCGTACTTTAACCATAAAAGGTAATGCATATCAGAATTTTACCAATAATAATAATGTATTTTAATAAGTACCAGCAACTGCTCCCTCTTCTCTTACTGAGGTCTTCAAGACAGCTACCACTATTACTGTCAGTTGGACTGCACTTGATGCTGATGGATATATAGTCATTGTCACTAGTGACACAGACACTGTGCTGACAGTACAGGTGGAGGGAAGTAGTAATAATACAATCACACTGAATGGATTGAGAGAACTAACAACTTATAACATCACAGTCAGAGCCTATCAACAATTACTGGGACCTGCTGGTACAATCAGTGTACAGACCTTTTCAGGTATTAATTAATATTGGCTATAAAATGTGCATATGTGGCCAGTTATAGGGGGATCATTTATACTATGTTTACACTACGGAACTGGGCCAAACCATGTTGAACCAGGCTGGGCTGACCCTGCTGTACTATATAACCATGCTGGCCTGGTTTGGCCCAGCTCACTTCAGCTCAGTTTGGTTACTGTTTACACTATCAAATGAAACTGTGCTGGCCCACTTTAAACAGGGCTGGCCCAGTTAAAGAAGCAAGTGTAAACGTAGTATTAGATAATGTACTGTCAGATAACTGGTTATCATGGTTATCATGGTTATCTGTGTTCTATCCTTTAAAATAATTTACATTAGAGCAGCTGATCTTTATGGTTCTAAAGACTTTTTTATTACACTTTCTGATGCACATTGATGTCCTTATGCTATGTAGCAAGTTTGAACCAATTCCAACATCAATAATGAGTTTTACAGTATAAGCCAATTTTTTGAAAAATATCCATAGTTTTTTTTCGAAATGGCTCAAAAATCAACCTAAATTTTGATTACATTTTCTGACACATATTAATTTCATTATAGATCTATGCTGTGTAAAAAGTTTGAGCTGATTTAAACTTAGGTTTTTTTTCTAGTTATGGCCATTTTAAAACAATTTGCCAGAATTAAATACAGTATCTGATACTGGGGCCAAGCCTCCATTGGTGGAAAATACAAGTGGTGAAAAGCAACCGTGTTCAACATTACGAATCCGAGCAGTCATACTTTCTCTTCTTCCGGTTTTCTACTTTCTTGTAAACAGCTGGTAGAGTGAGGCCTTTATATGATTCAGAGAAGGGATTAACAACTGAGACATCAAAGAATGCTCTCTGATGAGAGATCCCCCAGAAACCATCAACTGCAATGTCCGCACGAGCTTCATCACCATCCACAGTAGACGCTGTGATTGATTCTCCTGAGAGTGGTTGTAAAGGAGGCTCACAAGAAACATTGCTACAGACATCTTCAAGCAGGGAGGCAGTAAGATCTCTCAGCTCATTATGTCTTAGTGTGGATAGCTAGCCCATGGTTTTTTCCAAAAAATGGCTCCAAATTACTCCAAATTTTTATTATATTTTCTGATACAAATTTATGTCTTTATGCTGTGTAAAAAGTCTGAGCTGATTTTGACTTTAATTTTTCAAGTTACGTCCATTTTAAGAAAGTGCCAAAAATCTGAAAAATACCCTATATAGCCCATGGTTTTTCCAAAAAAATGGCCTCAAAATTACCCCGAATTTTTATTACATTTTCTGATACATATTGATGTCCTTATGCTGTGTAGAAAGTTTGAGCTTATTTTAACTTAACTTTTGAGCTATGAGAAACTTTTTAAAACAGACAATTTTTGAAAAATACCCTAAGCAAAAATACACAAGGCCCATGGGTTTTTTTTCCTAAAATGGCTCCAAAATCACCAAAAACTTTTATTGCATTTTCTGAAATGCATTGATGGTCCCTTATGCTGTGTAGAAAGTTTAAACTGATTTTGACTTCAAATTTTTTAATTATCAATATTTTTGAAACACCCAATTTTTGAAAAATACCCAAGCCTGTAGTTTTTTTCCCAAAATGACTCCAAAATAACCATTTAATTACATTTTCTGATTCATATTGATGTACGTATGCTATGTAGAAAGTTTGAGCTGATTCCAACTTCAATTTTTGAGTTATGAGCATTTTTCAATTTTCCTATTATTGTACACTCTAACTTATTTGGCCCAATTTTTGAGCAACTATAAAAGTTTGTAAAATATCCAATTTTGATTATAATCAGCTCAAACTTAGTACACAACATAAGGACATGTGTATGTATCAGAAAAATTATATAAGTGATGAATTCTCTTGAACTTCTAGCAATTTTTGATAAATTTCAGTGATCAGGGTTTTCTAACACTTCTCATTAGCATCAGCTGGCATAAAGCTGAGCTGGTAATGAGCACTATTCCAAAATCTTGTGGGAAATATTGATATTCAAATGCTACAGCTCTATAATTCAACCAGTGCCAGTACTTTCATTAACATTACTAGAGTAGCATAATATCTCATTTTCTTTTACAGCTGATGTGAAATGGAAAACTCCTGTGGTCATAGAATCAATAAATGATAAAATAAATACAAACGATGAAAGGGATTCCGTATACTAAAACCACGTGCCAACACATAGTAGAATCTAGATACTGTTGGTACAAATGGATACCCATGCACCATCTATGATACCACGCAGGACTCCCAGAGACCTGGATTAGCACAAAAGATCTAGAGAAAGTAAAGTTCTTATAAGCATTCATTTTTATAATGGGTTGGTCACTTACTGGTTTATTATTAGATGGTCCAGTAACACAGAGTAAACTCATTAACTCATAGCTAAATAGTCTACCTGCATTCCTGATTGGTCTTACAGGTGTAAAGTGGCATAGGAAAATGCCAAGATCCCTCACCTTCCCTACAATGAATGATGTCATGAACAATGGCAGTGAGTGAGTATTACAAAAAGACTTGAAGTTTATAAATCTATAGTACAGAGAAAATTACTTTGCCTATCTACCTTTCATGTGGTCAAGCAGGTGTAGCTTAGAATCTAGCTGTATACCACAATTAGTATAGCAGTCCATCTATTCTACACACCTGCCATTTTGTCAAGTCTCTTATATGTTGTCAAAGTACTAAAAGGAGCTCTTTGAGCACTTCAAAGCCGTAGTGAAGAGGTAGGCTTAATCCTATAGATCTATACTGGCTTTCGATCCTTCATTGGTTGGGCCTTTGTTTTATTATTATTTATAAGAATCATTGCCAATCCCTATACTGAAATATGACTAAAGAACTGAGTTTATTTGTACATTTATAGATCTATATATATTCTACAAATTTAGAATGAATCATCGTGGAAGTGGGCATTATGAACAATTAAAATCACAGCTTGAAAAGCAAGAAGAAGAAATAGCAATATATAAGCTGTACGTATGTGTATATAACAAAAAACGTTTTAACTTTAGTGATAATTTTTCTAGTCAAATTAAGGAGCAACAAGCAGATAAGGAGCAATTACAAAAAAATTATGATACTGACATGAAGAGGCTTCTGGCAGTAACCAAGAAACAAGATGATATTGAATCTAATTTAAGAAGAGAATTGAAAGAGTTGCAACATGCTATTGAAACTCAAAAAAGAGTGGTAAAATAATTATTACTCATTATACTATTATATAAAAATTTTCATTAATTATTATAGGAACTAGATCAACTAACCCATCTAAACAATAAATTAAAAGTAATTAGATACAATTAAATCTAGATTTACTTAACAATCATTTATAGGATGAGTATGATAAAATTGGAAAGGAACTCAGTGAGCATGAGGAAGTCGTTGCTAAACAAAAAGAAGTATGTCATTTATTATTGGCTATTAATTATTATTATTTTATTATTATTATCATTATCATTATTATTATTATTATTATTACATCATCACAGTTATTGTAATTTTTAGATAACTGAGGCTTTGAAAATAGCAAACAAAAAGCTTACTGAAGATATAATGAAGAAAGAAACGGACATACTCAATATGGAAAGTCAGTTTGCTTTACACAGTTTACAGAAACTGAAAAATAACTTAATAACAAATATGGTAGAGAAGGATGATACAATAGCTGCTTTACAACAAGATGTTAAAGATAAAAATCTGAAATTAATAGAAGCTAAAACTCAGTTAGAAGCTAAACAAAAAATGATACATGAACTAGTTGGGAATTGGAAAGCTGAAGAAGCACAGGTAAAATTATTTTAAAGTGCTTCAATAAGATATTGTGCAGTGTGTTCATGAAAATTGTGTTGTGTGTAGTATCATGGAAAATTTGTTAGTATTGTTTGTAATCTATTTTGTATCATATTCAATGATCATCCTTCATACAGTGTGCAGTTTACAAAAAAGACTTTGACGAGGAACATGATGATCGACTGAAAGTTCTAGGTCAGTGTGAAGATTTGAAGCAGAAATTAATTGAAGAAAAAATGAAATATCGTGAATTGCAACAAAAGTATGGTATTAGTCGTACTATTGAAAAGAAGCCATCAATTGAAGTAAATTTTTTAATGTAAAATAGTTTATGGTTTTGTTTATAAAAGCATCGTTTAAGTACATCTATGACTGATGAATATGACAAATCAAGAAGAGCATCAATGGAGCAAGTTTTGAAGGAGAGGGCAGGACTGGAAAAGGTACATGAATCCTATCTTTTATGCTCTTAAATAGATAGACTGGGCTTATTTAGCTGTGTTATGGTATTTTGTGAATTCCACTCTTGATTTATATTTTTGCTAATAATACATTTTGTCAAATCAGAAAAATGCTAAAATTTAAAAGTACGATTAAAGTATTATTGCTACTTCTTATGTAGCTCTTCATAGCATAAAAAGCAAGAGTAATAGATTGACAAATCAATTAAAAAGTATATCAAAAAAGCTAACTTAGCATTATTGTTAACCTTAGCTAGCAATTGTGCCTTAAGTGTGACATCATGTTAGCTTAATCTGTTACTATTTTTGTAGAAAAATATAGAATTAGAGCAAGCAAAGACAGAAATGGAGGGAAGAATAGATACCCTTTATGCACAAATGACTCAGAGTCAAGAGAAACACAAAACTGAGGTAAGATTAACATTATCATTTTGACATTAAAAATAATATAAATGGAACTTTCTACATTTAATAAATGTACATGAATCATTAGTGCTCTAATCAATAGGTCAGTGAGCTAAGTGAAAAGCTTAATAATGAAATGAAGTCCAATGAACAACTGGTATTTAACAAATACTAATTTAACTACCTAGTAAAATGTATATTGCATAGGCTAATGAGTTGCGTAGAATGAGAAAACAACATGAAAAGCAAATTGATGACATGAGGAATGCCAACAAAGTAAATTTTTATGTAGTCATCAAGATGTAGTCCCCTTATTGAGTAAACATGAATGTCAGATGCAGATGTCAGTGTCACTGTTTTTGTATGAATGTTTATACAAATGGGAGGATATTGGGTTAACCATATTAAATCAACAAGGTGGTGCCCTATAGCTACATGTACCTTGTTCCACAAGGGTGACCTATCACAGTACATAGATCTGTCATTATTATAACCAGAATACTCTTGATATTAGAAAGCTTTTAAAAGTACAAATCCTTGCTAAAATTATTTGGTAGGCCTAATATTGTATTGTTATTTTTTAATCCTCATAAAGGTATTGATGGAAAAAGTTTTGGCATTAGAGAGAAAAGGACAAGACGATGAATCACATCATTCTAATCGTATTTCTATTGATACGTCATTAATCAACATGGAACCACAACTGACAGCAGAAGAAATGACAGCACTCTTCAGAAACGGGCCTGCACAACAAACACACGTTGAACAAGAAATGATGGCAGAAAATTGATGTAGCAATAGATAGTCAGTCACTGTACTCACATTCCTTATTCCTATTGATCTACACAATTTAGAAAATATGAATTATACCGTATAGTGGGATTTATTGACGAAGGTTTTATTTTGATGAGTTGACGATTTAAAATCAAACATCAAATTTTATAATCGTTGAAAATTTTGTACTTTGTGCCACGTGTACATGAAGGGCACTATTCGTCAAATTAAAACTCACCAACCAGGGAAATTTACTGTTTTTGTCAAATTTTTTACTTGTCAATAAATCCCGCTATATGGTATAATGTATTCATGTATGGATGGACAAAGAAATGATCAGTTATTATTTCTTGTGCTTAGAAAAAAAAACTAGATCTACTTCCTTAGTAAACTGCTGTGTACATATTTTTTCACAATTAATTTTATGTAAAATTAGTATAACAAACATAGCATTCAATAAAGATTGTATCATCTTATTTTTGCATGTGAGCTAAAGAGTAACATTATTTTCAAGTATCTCTAGCTCACACCCAACCATCATGCATGCACTGTACTGAAAGTACTTAATCATAATGATGATTACATCAATCAGTCGACATGTGTTTTATCCTCTAGATGTAATATATTGTAATATCCTTTCAATTAATAATTCATTTTATGTCATATCCTCAATAGCTTATGTTCTACAGTATACCGGCAAAACATGAGCTAAACAGCACATTGAGACTTAAATTTTTTGAGATATAAACATTTGTAAATGGACAATTTTAAAAAATACCCAAGGCTATAGCCCATGGTTTTTTTTCAAAAAATGGCTCCAAAATTACCTCCAATTTTTATTACATTTTCTAATACATATTGATGTCCTATGCTATGTAGAAAGTTTGAGCTTATTTCGACTTCAATTTTTTGAGTTATGAGCAACTATTTACAACAGAATGTTTGAAAAATACCCAAGCCCATGGTTTGTTTAAAAAATGGCTTCAAATTTACCCAAAACTTTTATTACACTTTCTATTATTATTCAGGGGCGGATTTAGGGGGGTGCTGAAGGTGCTTGAGCACCCCCATTAGCCTGAAGAATCAACATTTCTTTCTTCTGCTTCTTTAAGCTCTGGTGTCTCATATCACTGCTAAGTGTCTTAAGAAAGTTACTCAACACACTTGACAATCAATTCAGCCTGAATTTCAGCATTTTCCAGAGTTTAAAGAGCAGTAGGAAGCACCAGAGTGCCTGAAATTACAGTGACCGCGCCTATAATATTCGAAAATGGCGGAAAACAATATTTTAGCGCCGTATAAAAGGGGTGTGGTCAAAATCGCGGCACGCTTTGCGCGCCGTCAGCACCCCCTCCCTTTTATTCCCTGTTATTATTAGTATTATTGGGGTGAGCCTGAGCGAGCCCCACATAAACGAGTCGAGTATGTTTGTTTGTCTGTCTGTACATGTACATCACCCCTATTTATGCGTAATACGGTAGATACTATCCATTAACAATGCAATATAAATTCAGTTTTCAATATTTCATTAAAAGTGGGAGGAAAATAAAATAAGAATGAGCAGACTGATAGATTAGGGAGGGTGGAGAAGTGAGAAGTTAGGAGTGCGATGGATATGTGAACACTTGGGGCAGGGGCATATTGACATACTTATTTTTTGAATTATGATCATTTTAAAATTCTTATTATTGTACATTCTATTTTTCGGCCAAATTATTGAGCAACTTTAAAAGTTTGTAAAAAAATCTAATTTTGATCATAATCAACTCAGCTTTGATGTAATTAATGAACTCTTTTAGACTTCTAGCCATTTTTGACAAAATACTATGAATCAGGGTTTTCAACCTCTACTAAGCAAGCTGCTTGAATAGCACACTTCATAAGCCTGCATAAAGCTGAGCACTATTCCAAATCTTGTGGGAAATATTGACATTCAAATGCTACAGCCCTCTCATTCAACTAGTGGCAGACTGGCAGTAATGATAAATCTCTGATGTACATACACACACTAATAGAGGACTAGGAAACTGGAGAGTTTATACACTAGTAGCTACTCAAGAAGTATGCTTAGGATCAAATAATAGTCTATAAATTTTAAATTATTTTATACGAAATTCATTTTTAATAATTTTTTTTGAATAATAGCGCCTTGAGCTGTTGATGGTATCACTAGTTATTAGTATTATTATTCATAAATTACCAGGAATGCACAAACTTTAATCCTATTGTACCGCCACTGCTAGGGAAACAAATAAGCAACTCATTAACAAAATAGTTATTAATGATGCTTTTTTATTATATAAATTTAATGTTTATGATGGACACAGCCAAGAGATAATTAGCATGTCTAGTACAAGACACTGCCTGAAATCACTGAATCGAGCCTAATTACAGTATTAATACAGTCTGAAAAGTAGAATTGCTTAATCATGCAAGTTGCTCTTGCTATTCTAACATGATTGTATCAAGGCTGATAGATCAAGCTAGGCTCATTGCCATGTTAGCTGTCTAAAATCCATGATTCAGGATGTGTTAGGCAAGATCATGACTGACATCATTCATGATTCAATCACATATGAGGCTTTCTATATAAGTTGATACAATTAACACCCACACAAACCATTTCTCTGTCAACATGTTAAAACTACAAGTGGTTGTCTTTTTGTTGAGTGTCAGTGAAGTTATTAGTCAATGTCCACCTTCCTCAGGTAAGACACTGGATGTGAATAATAACGACTGTATAGGTTTTTATAGGCATCTACATGAGGCATAATGGAAACTGTTATCCTAATGGATCATATTTTTGGGATGATAGTATCAGACCAACTCCTTTAGAGTGTGGATTACCTGGTGCTACTCTAAATGGTGGACAATGGATTGGTCCTAATGGAGTAGTTCTTTGTCCTGGCAGCAATTCTAATCTTTTCTGCACTATTGGGTCAGGTGCTAGTCTCAGTGTTCATATACCTACCACTAACACTGACTTTCTTGGGGCACCTGGTGATGGCTGGTACAAGTGTTGTCTACCCACTAACTGTTCAGATCCTAACACTAACATCATCTTTGCTAATATATTCAGTAAGAAGAGACTAATTATTATACAGATTGAATTTATAATAATTTTCATTTGTAGGATATGCACAGATAGAATCATTTAATGTTGCTGATCTTCCTTCTGATATGACAGTATATCCTCAGAAATACAAACTGAATTGTACTAAAATTGGACACTGGCGCTATAGTATTAGCATTGGTAGTAGTACTGCACTGGCTAGTTACACATACTGTGATGATCGATATAGTATTTGTCCTGGTACTGTGTTAGATAGTAATACCAACAGAATAAGATATACTGCTACTATCACATGGGATGGAATGACTGTCAGTAGTGGATCAGTCAGTCAGTCAACCACTGGAGATCAAATGTATCAGTGTTTAGTGGCAGTTACTGATCAACCAACTAGAATACGTAATATGACTATAAAAGGTAACAAAGTATAATTTAATTTTATAATACTGTATATTTTTAGCACCAGCAATTGCTCCCTCTTCTCTTAATGTGGTTAACAAAACAGCTACCACTATCACTGTCAGTTGGACTGCACTTGATTCATATGATGCTGATGGATATGTAGTCAATGTCACTAGTGACACAGACACTGTGCGGACAGTACAGGTGGAGGGAAGTAGTAATAATACAATCATTACACTGGATGAACTGAGTGAAGGAATATCTTATAATATCACAGTCAGAGCCTATCAACAATTACTGGGACCTGCTAGTACAATCAGTGTACAGACCTTATCAGGTATTAATTGCTATTGGCTATCAGTTTTATGACTACGTGTCTTTGTATAGAATATCTATCTGGTCCAGTTGGTTCAGTATCCAGTATCATGGACACTACATGGGCTGTTATCTCATGGAGTGTACCTAGTTACATTCCATCAGACTATCCCATTATCACATATGAGATTGGATATCATATTCTTTTTGACAGGCTTTGTTGTTCAATTGTGAATGACAATGATATTGATATTCAAATGCTACAGCTCTATAATTCAACCAGTGGCAGTACATTTATTAACATTACTGGTCTTAATGATAAGTCTTGTTATATTTTTGGTGTACATGCATACACTGATAATGGACATGGAGAATGGATAGTTATTGCTAACGAGACATTGATCAGTACTCAATTTGTGACTTTAACACTAGTACATGTACTCACAAGTACATGTACTAGTACTAGCACTCGAGAAGCATGCATAAGATCAACTAATACAGGTATAATAGTCTATGCATGCAAAATATTTAGAATACTACTAAATGATTTTAAATTCTAGTGTTGGGAGCTGTTGATGATACTAGCATTGGACTGGTTGCAGTGGTTGGATTATTATTGATATCACTAGTTATTAGTATTATTGTTCACATCTACCGCTTAATCAAGTATTATACTTTAATCAATACCATTATTCTGATTATGCATATACAGGCTTAAGTCCTATCATGCAACCACCTCTAAACAAACAAACAAGTAACTCATTGCGAGCAAAAAATATACTTGTACATTATATTATATTTTTTCAAATAGATTCGATGATGATGACATACCAATGCAAGCATGTGAACCATATAGTATACAAAATATTACAGAGGCAGCAGATGAAGAGCCAGGTGTCAATGCATATGCTGATGATGCTATTTATGAGACATAAATAGCAACCTAATAGATCTAGCACTAAAATCATTTCGCAGTACAACTTTATGACTACTTACTTTATTATTTTATAATAGATCTAGATCTATATGTGCACACAATTTGTTTACTTTAAAACATTGTTGTTTAGATAGTCTCATTATAGTTTGATAGATCTATATAAGTATATTCTAATGGTAATGGATCATGCATGTGTCTGAGGAATGAGAACAACTTTTATATGAATCATTAGACAGAGCATGATGGGAGTGATTGTTTATAATACCAATGTTTACTTGTGTTTAAACTAGTGTTTACCTGTGCTTACTGGTGTTTACTTTTATAGTGTTTACTTGTGTTTAAACTAGTGTTTATCTGTTTACTGGTGTTTACTTTATAGTGCTTACCTGTGTCCACTGGTGTTTACTTGTGTTCTCAGTGGGCTTCCAGTACAAGCAATCACATAAGTTCTGCTAAATGTATAGAAATTAGAAACATGTTACCAATGATGTGTTTACCATGAAGGAGTAAACACAAAGAGAGATACCGGTACCAAGAAACTGGTCCTAAATAAAGCCAAATGTGCCAAAATTACCTCCAATTGTTATTAATTCTTTTGATACGCATTAATGTCCTTATGCTATGTAGAAAGTTTAAGCTGCTGAATAATACAGTACATTAATGGCTACCATGGTTATACTGCCCAATACTGTCCTCCACGCACCTACTAATTTTTAATTATGTGTTTGATAGTAAATAAAACATTCATCAGTGGGAATGCTACATAAAGAAAACAAGAAATGGAGAGAATAGAATAATTTTCCACTTTTATAGATACCTCAATATGAGTACTGACTAGCCAGACAAGGCACATGAAATAGATTCCGTATACTAAAAGCACGTGCCAACCAATGGTGCAAGTATACTGTCAAGAATTGACATATACAACTGCATGCACTGGTTATCACAGTAATAAATGAGTATTACAAAAAATTTAAACCCTGAGCTCAAAAGTAAAATTATTTGGGTTTAAAGCTGACACCCAGTCATGCTATGAAAATAGTTGATTAAAAATGACACCTATTAAAGCACAAATTAATTAAAATACTTCATTATCAGCTTCTTCCAATAATTTGTGTCCAACTTGTCTCATGATTGAAGTTTCTATTGCAGAAAGACATACATTGTAACTGCTATGCATGCATTGCTATAGTTTATTGCTATAGTTTATTTATGCATGCATGGGACATGACTGAAAGTATACATACTTCATGCCCATTGATTAATCTATACAAGCATTTTAGCATCTAGATCTAATCATTCTCCTTTAAATCAATGAATCTTACTTACTCGATGATAATCACAATCCAATATAAGTATTTTGTGAAAAATCAAATAAGAATTATACTTAATTGTTTTTTTGCATTCACCTCATTAATGATAGCATGATAATTCTTATATTCCATTGCAACCTTAACATGTAGATTCTCTTACTATAACCAATAATAATCACAATCGACAAATCAAACAAGAATATAGTTAATTATATTTTTGTAGAATTAGATCAATATTTATGTAAGTTTTTTACTGGATCTATGCCATATAAAAGTTCAAAGTCACACTTGGCTCCATTTGCTTGCTGATTGCCAAATTTTTGTCAGTGTGTTGTACTACTATATCCTCTTTGCTTCTGTTTTTTGCTTTAATAAACAGCTTGTTTGTTTCCTGCTCCTTTGCGTTCACTTCATCATTAATGGCAGCATGATAATTCTTATATTCCATGGCAACCCATTTAAAAACAAAACCTGCTATTAAGATAGGAAATACTTGGCTTAGTATGTTCACTACTTCATAGTTCTGAAGAGATACAAAAAGCACAGTGTTAGCATAAGAAATTGTGAATTGGACGCAAAATGTTATGAAAAGTACAGTAAGGACAATGTTATAAACCAAGCTAAATAAATTCATATTGCCAGTCTCATATCTTTCAATGATATATGCAACAATAAAGAAAAATATTATGATCGTCACCATGATTAAGATCACTTTGCTCATCACTTCTGTTGGATTTACTAACATACCAATTATAATCCCAGATATATGAAAACTGTAAAGAGAGCTTGAGAGGGTCAAAGTGGTTAAAAAAACAAGTTGAAAAAAGAACTGAATATATCTCCTCTTTTCAAAACAGCGGATCAGTTTAGGAAGGGCAATCATTTTGTTTTTACGATAATATTTGACAGTCAGAAACATTGAAAATGAGGCATTGATTGTAATCAAGAAGATTAGGAGACATAAAAGAGAGATAGATACTGGAATGGCATCTTTATACAACTGTGCATACCGTAAGAAAATATCAAAGTCCAGAGCTAGTATAATGATACTGCACATACCATCGACTATGACAGCTGCCCAAAAAATACTTTTGAAGTGAAGGTGCTGAGATTTGCGTTGGTAATCAAAATCAAGAGTTATGCTTTCTTGAATAGTGTCATATTTTTTCCAGAAAAAACCAAAGGCAGCCAATTGAGAGAAAACTACAAGCCACACTACTGAAAGTCCTATCAGATTGAATAGGTTGTATCGTCCATGTCTAGTTAAAATCTTCAGAGAGCCATCATACTCTTCAAATGCACTGTAGCCTTCAATGGCAATATTGATTCCTCTCTCTGATGCATAAGAC